TCTGCATTCTGTTTCTTGCAATCGATGATGACACACACAAACACGGATGAAGACGAGGGAGCTGACTTTGAGAGTAAAACAAGCAATTTGGATGCTAAAAGAAAAGAAGAAGTCACTTAGTGCTATAGCAAAAACAAAGGGCATGGAGAAATCAAGAGTTTTGAAACCATCGGCGACATCAGCAGCCAACAACGACCTGATCGACTGAGAAACACAACAGTAGTTGATGACAGACAAATCATAAAAGCTGTGAAAATGAACAATAAAATGCGTGTCTGTAATATCACCAACAACCTCCAGAAAGCTGGGGTGATGCTCTGACAATCTACTGTCCGCAGGAGACTTTGACACAGAATTACAGAGGCTACACAGCAAGATGCAAACCTCTGACCAGCACCAAAAATAGAAAGGTAGGATTAGAGTTTGCAAAAAAGCACAAAGGTGAGCCAGTAGAGTTTTGGAACTGAGTTTTATAGACAGATGAGACAAAGATGAACCTTTATTCAAGACTAAGTGATGGGAAAGCAAAAGTATGGAGAAAAAAGGGAACTGCAAATTCCCTATGCTAAGAATACAACCTGATCGGTAAAGCATTGTGGAGGTGGTGTCATGGCATGGGCATGCATGGTTGCCTTTGGAACTCTCAATTTTAATGATGACTTAATATATGATGACAGTAGCAGAATGAATTTGGAAGGGTACAGAAACATCTTGGCTACCAATATTCAAGAAAATGCTACCAGACTCATCAGAAAGCGCTTCATATTGCATCAGGACAATGACCCAAAACACCCGGCCAGTTCAGTCAAGGAGTTTATCAGGGCAAAGAAATGGAAAGTCTTAGATTGCCCAAATCAATCTCCAGATTTAAATCCGATTGAACATGAAGTTCACCAGCTGAAGAGGAGACTAAAGGCAGAAACTCCCTGAAACAAGCAACAGTTGGAATTGGCTGCAATAAAAGCTGGGAAAAGCATTTCAAATGATAAGACCAAGAGTCTGGTGATGTCTATGGGTCGCAGACTCACTGCTCTGATTGCACGCAAGGGATCTGCAACAAAATAATAGCTTTTAATCTTTTACATCTGCCTTAAGTTCATCTGTCCCAATACTTATGCTCACATCACGTAGTAGGATGAACTCTAAAAGTGCTGTCCTTTTTATTTGGTAAAACATGTATGTGTTGAAACAGCTAATAATAAAATGTGACATTCTGTAGTTTTGTCTCATATTCATCTTTTTATCATATTTGCATATGTCTTGACTACACAGCAAACAAAGCAATTTTGTCATTACTGTCCCAATACTTATGAAGGGCACTATATATATGTGTGCGTGCGTGTGTGTGTGTGTGAAAAAATTAGGAAACCCTATTGAATTCCATGGTTTTCTGTATCAGGACATAATAAAAAAATATTTGGTCCTTGGCAGGTCTTAAAATTTGGTAAATAAAATCTCAGATGAACAACAACACATGATATATCACACTGTGTCATTATTTATTTAACAAAAATAAAGCCAAAATAGAAAAGCCACCCTTACTGTTAACATGTGCATTAATACACATAACGTATTATTATTATTATATTATCATAATAACATGAATATTTTATATTTTAGACATTTTCTGATAACAATCCCCAAAGTAAAATAGTAAAACACTAAACCTATAACATTTTAAAACAATATTATTAGTAATAAAAATTAACATTTACAAAATATTACAATACTAACATTAATGTAAATCAACCATATTTAGGACATTTTCTAAAACATAATATATATGTGACCCTGGAACACAAAACCAGTCATAAGGGTAAATTTTTCTAAATTAAGATGTATACATCATCTGAAAGCTGAATAAATAAGCTTTCCATTGATGTATGGTTTGTTAGGGTAGGACAATATTTTGCCGAGATACAACTATGTACAACCTATGAATATCTGGAATCTGAGGGTGCAAAAAAATCTAAATATTGAGAAAATCGCCTTTAAAGTAGTCCAAATGAAGTTTTGTGGTCCAGGGTCACTATTAATATTTTCAATAGTACTACACTTAAACTAATTTAAATCAGCTATAATTAAGACATTTTCTGAAAACAAGCCTCGAAGTAATAGTTCACCCAAGCCTATAATATACTAATGTATGTATTATTATTCATAATAATAAATAGTAATAATTTATAGTTATAAAATATTAGAATAATATACTATAATACTATTACAAAATGTCTTACACTAATGTAAATTAACTACATTTAAGACATTTTCTGAAAACAATCCCGCAATAAGTTTGTCCAATAGTATTAATTTAATACTGTTATTATTAATCATAAATCTTAATATTTACATATTAATGTTTATAAAATATTACAACACTTAAAATAATTGAAATCCTGTCCCGCGTACGCGAGGTCTGATTTTCCCGGAGAAGTGTCATCTCTCTCGGCGTCTGTTCTGTGCAGTGAGCGGCAGAAAAGCAGCACATTCAGTTGGCCGCACCACAGCCGACTCGTCAGTAAATGAGTACAAAACAACATTTTCCAAGCACCTGTCGCTTACTGATTGTTTGGAATTATAAATATGAGCGTAGTTCGTCTGTTAATATCGCATGAACTTTTTTGTTTGTTGTTTTTTTTTGTTTGTTACTCAGACACAGGCAGTGCGCTGCATGAGACACAAAAGTAATATAGCCAAAACAACCGCATAGCCGCTCTTTAGTGTAGATGCATGTTGATTTTATCAGACGATGCCACAATTAGAAATGAGTGACTCCTGGTTAACATGTATTAAAAGGGGTCGTGTTTAGTCACTATTTAGTGTGGTATTTTTTGACAATATTCACTCATCATGACAGTAAAATAGGGCATTCTAAGTCAATATACACTCTTAAAAATAAAGGTGCTTCACGATGCCATAGAAGAACCTTTTTGTCTAAATGGTTCCATAAAGAACCTTTAACATCTGAAGAACCTTTCTGTTTCACAAAAGGTTCTTTGTGGCGAAAAAAGGTTCTTGAGATTATAAAAAGGTAAGAAAGAGATGGTTCTTTAAAGAACCTTTGACTGAATGGTTCTTTGTGGAAATAAAAATGGTTCTTCTATGGCATCGCTTGAAGAACCTTTTGAAGCACCTTTATTTTTAAGAGTGTACTGCAGTATTTCCTCTCTCAATCAGTAGAAAATATGGTTAACACCTGGTCATGCTAGTCGTGTCCTCTTTTGGAAGGCCAAACAAAGTAGTTTCGCTTTCACAAAGAAACACACAGTGTCACACACGGTGAGCTTGAGTGAGGAACGGCCAGCGGGCTTGAGAACGGCGTGGTCGGCAGATTCGACGAAGGAGCGGCCGGTGGGCTTGCGGCAACCACATGTGACGACCCCGGGCTGGACTCCGCTTCGTCCACGGTGAAAGCCGATCCGGCGATCCACAGCGCGAAGTTAATGTATTTCCTCAGCGAACAGCACAGATCAGCTCTAGGCATGACAAAGCGGATATCGTCCTCTTTTGGAAGACCAAACAAAGTAGTTTTGCTTTCACAACTAAACACACAGCTCCTTCACGACATGGCAGCGGCAACAACAATACTACAGCGAGAACAAAAGTTACACCTTCTTTCTTTGCGTGAACATTTGGGCGGCGTTATGCAAATCTTCCCACATCGTGACGTAGATATGTGGGGGCGTGTTAGAACGAGCCGTTTTAGGTAGGTGTGGTTGACTCTTAACTTTTATAAAGAATATCTCTTTAGATTTGAGACTTTAGTCTTTGCAACTTTACAGATCTTCTTTATACACCAAGAGCTTGTAACACTCCAAAGAGAAAGGAAAAATTGAAATCGCATCATATGACCCCTTTAAAACATTTTCTGGGGGAAAAAAAGCCTTCAAGAAACAATTCTCCCAAAAATTATCATTTTGTTCTCATTCTCACCCTCATGCAGTTCCCAGTATTAATATTTTTAATTCATAAAACACAGACGTCAGCTTTTCCATTCAATTAAAGCAGATAAAAGCCAAGCTCATAAAAAGTATGAAAAAAGCACCATAAAAGTGATCTGTATGACTTGTTTCACTACATCCCAAGTCCCTGACTGCCATTACTCTCAAATATAATTTGCTTACTTTTATAAGATTGTTGGCATTTTTTTTTTCATTTTGGCATAAAATCGCCATCAAATTGTATTGTATGGAAAAGCTGTCAAAGGACATTCTGCTTAAGATCTAAATTAATTTTGCACTAAAACAGCATTTTGGATGAATTATTTTTTAAAGCGTGTCACCAAAAAAATAAAAATAAAATAAAACTACGTAGTATATACAAGTGTATGTGTAAGTATACCAGTAAGACTGTTAGCCATCAAATTGTATTGTATGGAAAAGCTGTCAAAGGACATTCTGCTTAAGATCTAAATTAATTTTGCACTAAAACAGCATTTTGGATGAATTATTTTTTAAAGCGTGTCACCAAAAAAATAAAAAATAAAATAAAACTACGTAGTATATACAAGTGTATGTGTAAGTATACCAGTAAGACTGTTAAAAAAAAGTTTTCGTTTTTTTAACAGGAGAAGACGAGCCCGAAGGTTGAATTCAAGCCACACTGCCTTCATTATTTAATCGCTGAATGCATTTTGGACGGCTGTCTAATCTCAACAGTGTCTCCAGTTTTTAAGAGTTCCCGTCACCTGTCAGCTTGCCGTCCGCGAATTCTGATTTAGAGCCAGAAGGACGATGGCAGTTCAGGCACTCTGTGTAATTCAGAGCTGTCCTTAGATCCGTCACATTAAAAGTGTCCTCGCCAGACTTTGCGCAACAGACTGCACCGCACTATCTGTTAAACAAAACGTGGCAGCCAAACTTGTAGCCAGGATGGCGGTACTCCCAGAGGAAGTGCACTACAGGGGGCACGTGATTGACTGCTGTTTTGGGGTCAGTTCGACAGACTGTTTTATACAAATCATGTGATTCACATAGACTCGTGTGTGTATGTGCACTAACCTGCCAAGTGAGAAGGACACGCAACAATGACAGCTTTACAAGTGATTGTGCCTGCCGAAGTCGTAACTTTTATGTTCTCTGAATTCTGTAAGAGAAAAACATTAGAATTGATTAAAAACTGAAACCCGATAAAGGCTGGTATTGTGAGGTTGAAACTAACTAGAATGGCAAGGACACTGACAATGGTCTGTTGTGAAGGAAATTGTACTCAACACAATAAGATAATTTTTATGTGAACTTTATTGATCCCTGTGGAGAAATACATGGAATTATGGATTGAACATATACAGTACACACACAGATCTAGCACTTGGGTGGCATGTTGGCATTAATATGGCTTCCTGTCATAAAGCCGTCACAAACAGACCGGACTGAGATATAAATGAATACTGGCTGTTACAGTATGTAGGACTCCCAAAGGTGCCACAGATAGAAATATGAGTGCTAGTTTTAATAGACAACTATTTGTAATGGAGACCAGCTACCAAATCTGTTGCAAAATGCCTGGATGTTTCATCATGCGGGACATTCATGAACGTTATCGTGGACTATGGGACGAGGGGGGTGCATTAAAGGGATAGTTCACCCAAAAATGAAAATTCTGTCATTAATTACTCACCCTCATGTCGTTCCAAACCCGTAAGACCTCCGTAAGTTCATATTCGGAACACAAATTAAGATATTTTTGATGGAATCTGAGAGCTCTCTGACCTTCCATAGACAGCAAGGATATTACCATGATCAACGCACAGAAACGTAGCAAGGACATCGTTAAAATAGTCCATGTGACATCAGGGGTACAACCGTAATTTTACGAAGCTACAAGATTACTTTTTGTGCGCAAAGAAAATAATAATAACAATTTATTCAAAAATTCTTCTCCCCGAGTTACCATCTTCCACCATTTTGGAGAGTACCTCAGAACATAATCAACATAATCAGCGTTGTTTACGTTCAGCATGCGTGCGCTTTCTACTGAACGTAAACAACGTTGTTTATGTTCTGGGATACTCTCCAAAATGGCAGAATACGGTAACTGCACAACTGTTTTCAGTAATGTTTCTAGAGCAGCAAATCATCATATTAGAATGATTTCTGAAGGATCATGTGACAGAGAAGACTGGAGTAATGATGCTGAAAATAAATTACATGTTAACATTAAAAATTAAAAAAAATTAATTTTAAATTGTAATAATATTTCACAATGTTGCCTTTTTTTACTGTAAGTTTGATCAAATAAATGCAGCTGTAATGAGCATAAGAGACTTCTTTCAAAAACATACTCCACACACAGACTCCAAACTAGTTTTGCAAGTTATATTCATCATTAAATAATAGATGTAGAAACTGACATCCAATTCATTCAGTATAAGGTTGTGGTGGCTGACTAAATACTTTTTTGCCCCACTGTATATATTCATATGTGTAACCCAAGACTTCTAAAACCTGGAGAAAAATGGCATATAAAAATAAACATAAAAGTTAAAATGCATACATTATAATTGTATTGCCTAAAGTTTCTGAAAGTTAGCCATTTAATCCAATTCAATTTCAATTGATTTGCCAATTTTCTGATTGGCTCAAAACAAAAACATGGGAACAATTAATATTTTTATTAATATTAAAATATTTTATTAATTAATAATAATTTTTAGTAAAATATTATTTGCCTAATGGTGCTGAAAGGGATGTCAGCCATTTAATCCAATTCAATTTCTACTGATTTTCTAATTTTCTGATTGGCTTAAAAAACTAACAACATAGGATCTGTGTTTTTGATGTTTGCAGAGCCAGAGATCATGGATTTCTCAGCTATTTTTCAGGAAATTGTTATTTTTGTAGGGGCGTAGATCACGCGGGGGGACGTGTCCCCACCACTTTTAATATCACATAAATTCGCCCCCCGCACTTTTTCAGGCAAGTGTGTTTGCATAGAGGTTCTCAAGAGCCGGTGTGAATAAATATAGATTTAAATTCAAAGAGACAGGATAGTCTGTGCATGACCTGAAGATGAACATCACGGAGCACTAAACACTCCAAGCAGTGTATGTTTCATTCATACTCGAAACCGGAGGGCGCTCTCGCTCAGAAAGTCGTACCAGGAATGACCTAATATGGACAAACATGTCTATCGCTGTATGAAAACAGTTGTTTAACTTTCACAGAAAAACAGAAACGTTTGGGAACATGAAGACATTAAACATATGATTGCGACAATATATGGTTTATTTGTGTTTTTCAAGTCATCTCCAGGCAATAAATAAAGCATATGAACAATGCAGTGCTAACTGACATAGCATTTATTACAATATAGAAACTATTCTGCCTTATTATATGATAATAAAAAATATGTGATAAGTGTTTGTAGTATATAAACAAATCATTATTACTGGTTATTGTCCAGCAATGCATCTTATTTCTTAGCCAATTAAAAGCAAGAAATAAGAGAAAAATTTAAGTTGACTATACACCAGTCAAAAGTTTTTGAACAGTAAGATCTTCTTTTCACCAATTTATTTGATCCAAAGTACAGCAAAACAGTAAAAATTTTAAATATTGTTTACTATTTAAAATAACTGTTTTAGATTTAAATATATTGTAAAATGTCATTTATTCCTGTGGTTTCAAAGCTAAATTTTTAGCATCATTACTCCAGTCACACGATCCTTCAGAAATCATTCTGATATTCTGATTTGCTGCTCAAAAAATAAAAAAAATAAAATGATAATGATTATATATATATATATATATATATATTATGATGTTGAAAACAGCTGAGTAGATTTGTTTCAGGTTTCTTTGATGAATAGAAAGTTCAGAAGAACAGCATTTATCTGAAATAGAAATCTTTTGTAACATTATAAATGTCTTTATCATCACTTTTGATCAATTTAAAGCATCCTTGCTAAATAAAACTATTAATTTCTATAATTTCTTTTCGGGAAAAAAATTATAATGACTCTAAGCTTTTGAATGGTATAGTGTATAATGTTACAAAAGCTTTTCATTTAAGATAAATGCTGATCTTTGGATCTTTTTATTCATCAAAGAATCCTGAAAAAATATACTCAGCTGTTTTAAATATTGATAATAATAATAATTAAAAAAGGTTTCCTGAGCAGCAAATCAGAATGATTTCTGAAGGATCACGTGACACTGAAGACTGGAGTAATGATGCTGGAAATTCAGCTTTGATCACAGGAATACATTACATTTTAAAATATATTCACATAGAAAACAGTTATTTTAAATAGTAAAAATATTTCACAACATTACTGCTTTTGCTGTACTTTGGATCAAATAAATGCAGGCTTGGTGAACATAAGATACTTCTTTAAAAACATAAAAAATCTTACTGTTCAAAAACTTTTGACTTTTGGTAGGTTGCACTTTTTCCCTCATATTTATATTTGACATATATAATAGCAGTTGTACAAGTAAACAACTATATTTATATATTTAAAGGATTTTGCCTCTTTAGTAAATAGTAAAGACGTATTTTTAGAATATATCGAGAGATGTGGGGTTACACGCATTGCATATATATATATATATATATATATATATATATATATATAAATAAAGATAGAAGTCAATGAGTTCATGTGGATAAACAGTGGGGGTGAGTAAAACTTTCTACTCAGGCATGTCGATGTAACACCATTAAGATGGCTAATGGACTTTACCTCTCTATGTGTGAGAGTGACATTATAGGCTAATTCCCCGACGTTAGGCTTTCAAAAGATTTTGTGTCACCAATCCTCAAATGAGAGCGATCTAATGGAGTGGATTTGATTTAGCTTATCTAAATATTTTAGCCATGACAAGCACTTCAGCGTACCATAATGTATAATACAAAAATGGGAAGGAAGAGGCCGTGCAAAACAAGTGAAAAGCACACAGCGAGACCCAAGTCTTGGTTTCCGAATAGTATCTTGTTTAAAGGAAAGGAACTTATCACTCGCACCGCTGGTGGAGAAATGCTCGTTATCTCTGTGTCAACCTCGCACTGATGGAGTCGTTACCTGGCATATGGTCGTTACGGCGGCACCCAGCCGGACCCCTTCTTTGCCGATCTGCTCCACCAGCTTCTCTGACAGCTGCTGAGTGCCCCCCTGTGGAGAGAGATGGCCATCACACTGAGCTCACCCACTGCTGCTGCTGCTCTCAACACACAAAAAACACCACAACACCTCCTTACAGATGTCTGTGTGTTGTGGCACTATGCCCCACTGGGCTTCTTCTCTGCCACAGTGATTGTGAAATTACTTTCAAAATATCTGGTGTACAAAAAAGTATCATGGCATGGTGATAGATCTGTGTTGTTTTGTTTTATGAGACTATGAGATTGCATTGCCAGTATGCTGCGAAATTGCAAAGGCAAATATGCAGTGTAATAATATGCGGTGCTCAATGGTTAGATCTAATCTGGTGGAGAGATAAACAAGACAGTCAGTGTTGACAGAAAGTAGGTAAAAGAGGAACAGAAGATAAAAAGCTCTTCTAAATGAGCTGCTTTTCACCCTTTCCCCCAAATCAGCTGCTGATATCTGATGCTTTTGCTAAGTTCCAAGCTGGCCCACATTACATAGCCATTTGGGAGTTTTTTCAATGATTATATTTAATTTAATATTTATTTATAGATATTTTTGTTATTATTATTTATTTGTATTAATCATTTTGTTATTTATACAATCTTTTTGATTATTTATTAGTATTTGTATTTATTTTTTATTAATCATTTTGTTATTTCTACAATATTTTTTATTATTTATTAGTATTTTTATTTATTTATTTTTTCTTTATCTTTGTTATTTCTACAATATTTGTATTATTTAGTTTTATATTTTTAAATAATCTTTTTGTTATTTGTATCATTGAATTATATATGTTTATTTATATTATTATCAAAAAATAATAAAAACTGAGGGTGCTCGCATTTATATAGAAGCTCATTTCCGCCACAAACTAAAAATAAAAACGAAATTGCTCATTTTTAACTCACAATTTGCGACTCAAAATTGCAGAATACATTTATTCCCATTTATAGGTCTGTCTAAATGGACATATTTAGCTAAATCCAATTTCTGCTAAATACACATACATTTATCTTAATTGTATTAATCATTTTAATTTGAAAGAGGAGATAACTACTTTCCCTTTCTTTACATTTTATATTATATTAACAACGTAACCATTTGACTATGCGAGATGGTGCACTGGTTGCATTATAACTCTCTTTCTACATTTTGCAGGCCTTCTTACAAAGCAACTCGAATTGATCTTTATCATTTATTTTTTTATATATTAAAGTGATAATTCACAAAAAAATATAATTGTATTTTCTTTCATTTTTCTCACCCTAAAGTTGTTCTAAACCCATATTCTGATGTGTGTTTTTTTTAGTGGAACACAAAAAAATTCTTTATTAAAATAATTTCCCATACATTAGTCAATAATAAACACAGCTGTAAATCACCCCAGAAAACAAGTCATTAATACATAAGAGGAAATTAATAATGCCAAAATTGTATAATAATTTCTGTAAGAATTATTCCTTTTAAACCAGTTTGTATTACAAAAGCTGGGATTTCAAGTTTCAAGGCCTTAAAACTGTGCAAGTAACAATTGTAGATAGTGAGAATAATCTCTGCCATGTCTCTGAGTTGTTTATCCACCTTATCTCTCTCCCTCACCTTGACCCTGAACTCCTGACCCGAGCCAGGTGTGGTCTCCAGGAGTCGTAGGGTGCCCCCTGCTGCAGCGGAGTACATCAGAAAGAACAGGAAGGAGACCTGAGACGGTTCCAAGCCGAACACGATACGGCTACACAAGGCCAGCTCCTCTTTTACCTCTATAGGACACACAGAAAGATAAGTATCGGCAAATGTCAATGGACTACTTTGCTTAATGCAGTGAACTGAAAATGCAGGAAATGCACAATGCTCACGTGTGGTCCAGATATGTTTTTCCATGAAGGTGTGAAGCGTCATGCCGTCAAAGAGCTCGGCATTAGGACAACTCATTGGGTCTTCAACTGATATGGTCTGAGTAAGATGGTCAATCTAGGCGATATACACATCTCTCACCTTATGGTTAAGCTTGAAACTAACATGATGTCAAAAATGACCTCAATAGATTGGAGAAACCCATTAATCCATTAACCACTCTTAGAAATACATCTATACAGATCTACAAGATCTATTGTGGCTGAACGTGCAAGGTAAATATGCATCTTAGATACAATATGGAACCTGAAGTCTTCATCCATTAAGATATGAAATGATGGCTATTAGTCACGTTCTAGCACTCAATAAAAAAAGAATAATTCTATTGTGGACCGGCACTTTGTCAGATGAGATGGTGCTGTTTCTCATACCCGCCGCAGAATCTGGGTGAAGTCCAGCAGGGTGAGCGGGGAGTATGACGGCATGCTAGTGGTGTACATTTTGATTTTGGCATGCGGACCACCCACGTGATGCACCTTCTTGCCCTCGGTGTATTGTGGAAAGACCTCCAGACCAAGCTCTCGAATAAGCTCCATGACATGGGTCTGCGAGCTACAGGACATGAAAATCAAATAAATTACCAGAAAGCGTGTTTCTGCACACATTCGGACATCTAAAGGCAGCCAGACGCCTCCTTCAAAATGACTTTGTGTAAGTTGATGAAAATCCTGCTTGCCCTCATTTAAAGCGAAGGCTTTCACAGCCCCAGGCAACGGCCGTTTATTGATCTCGGTGGACGCTGAGAGTAGCTCGGGGTATTATTCTAATAGTTCGGGTAGTGGATTACAGCAATAAACATCTCGCTTGAAAACACATTATTAATGCCTGTAGGCTTAAACAAGCTTTTGGGATGTTCCATTAGCACAACTCAAAAACAAGTAAGTTGGGGCTAGTTGTCACAAACACTATATTTCAGTAAGGTTTTGGTTCAGAAAGCCAGTTACACAAATGTGTGTTGTTTCCTGTTAAATAAAATAAAAATCTGATCCTTCAGCCTAGAATTAAAAGGATCGTTTTAGTTTTAGAGAGCGTTCTGACCTGGCACATTCAAGGCCCAGCAAGGTAGTAAAGACATTGATAAAATAGTCCATTTGACATCATTGGTTCAACTTTAATGTTATGAAGCTACGAGAATACTTTTTGTATGCAAAGAAAACAAAATTGTGACTTTATTCAACAGTTTTTTTACCTTTATAGGCCTTGAATGTGATAGTTGTGTTGTTGTCTATTCAGGGTCAGACAGCTCTTGGATCTTAATTTGTGTTACGAAGATGAACAAAAGTCATCTGGGTTTGGAACGACATGAGGGTGAGTAATTAATGACAGAATTTTAATTTTTGGGTGAACTATACTACACAATATGATCCAGCTGTAGATGTCGGCTAAAAAAGCGAATAACACAATATAACAACACTGACATACATTCAGGCAAGAGTACAATAAAGCTAGACTAAAAGGTTGAACAAACGTATTTTGGTAACTTTAAAAAATGGTTCAATTTGATAACTACAGTATAGTCAACACAAACTACAGTAACAATTAAAGTAACTTATTAAAATATACCTACTCATTTATTATCTCAGTTAATGTTATTTTCAACATTTTGAATAGAAGAACAGAACAAAATAATATTCCATTCAATTCAGCTGCTTAATAATGTTCTTAAAATATAGGCTAACTGTCTCCAAATTCTTATTGTTCAACATCAAATATTTAAAGAAAATGCATATATATATATATATATATATATATATATATTATTTTATTTTTTTGTACGATATTTTCTTCATTGAACAACGACTGTTATGCTGTTATGACTTCTTTGGAATGGAAATATAGGTTAAGTATCACTTCCAATTCATATAATTTGCAGAATCTAGAACATAATAGTAAAACGTAAAAGCTGGGCGCTGCAGAAAGTATTTCTCAAGGCACTGAAAATAATAACGCCCACAACTTCCCGCATTTGGCTTTTGCCAGGTTTTTATTTCGGACCTGGTTTGGGGTCACACAACTCTTTTGGCGTTTCGTCCAATCGAGCCTCTTCCAATCCATTTTTCAAGCCGTTTGTCTTATGCTGGAATGCTGGAGCCTGTCTGAAAGTTTTGGACCGAGGACAGGGAAACACACTGGACAGATGGCCAGTCCATCACAGAGACAACACACACAAGCATACGGACAACTGAATGTCTCCAATTCAGCTATCACGTCTTTGGATTTGGGTGAAACCGGAGCGCCAGAAGGAAACCCAAAGCAAAACGTGGAGAACATGCATGAGATTTGTTTTTGTCATCTGGCGTAAGAAATTGTATTGTGAAGAGAAAGCGTGAGTCTAAAAGTGTGTCTCAACTCTGCATAAAGTGACATTAAAAACCTTCCCTGAAACATGCAATAACAATAACAGTTATTTAAAAATGAAATGCTTACCTGGACACCCACTGTCCCCCCATGTCCCACTGGTCAACGCCATTCGCAGCTGGCAGGTCTTTACTTACAGTTCGTCCTCCGACACGGTCTACGTGCAGCAAATAAGAAAAACAAAGTGTTTTGTATAGCTATGCAAGCGGACCTATATAGCTCATTAATAAGGATATCCAAGATAAAAGTCGTTTTTTTCTTGCGACGCACCTCTGGCCTCCAGGACCATGACGCTGAGTTGCGGGTTTCTCTTCTGCAGCCTGCGAGCCGCGCTGAGTCCGGACAGGCCCGCGCCGACCACAACCACGTCAAACTGATCCTCACTCATTCCTGCAGCGGGTTGAGCAAACAGCGCGGTCAGATCGGTTGCACGGGCGAATATAACACCTCGACTGTCCTGCAGAGAGACTGCAAAGCCAAGAAAGGTGAAAGTTCGGCTTTATTGCGCACACTTGTTGCTGATCGTAAAAAGCACGCACTTGGCACTTCGCCCTCACAAAGCGGATCAGACTGGGGTCTGAGGCACACCGGACGATACTAACTCAGACCTCCCACTTCTGATTAAGTTATGTGTGCCCAAAAAGTGTGAAGTATTATATAAAACACCCCAAAAGATATGAATGAAAAGACATGAAAAAATGATGCATTAGACAACAAAATGTCAAACCAAATGGCAATTACAAACAATGTAAACAAAAATGTGTACTTAAACAGAAAATAAAACAATGTAAATAGTAAGACAATTATGAAAACCAAAAGATTTTGCATTTACACAAATATGAAACCATTGTTTTGGCCAACAGAAACTGCAACCATCAGGGGGGAAAAAAAGGTTTGTTTTTTTTTTGGCTAACTTTCAAATGCATGTATCTTTGTCATGTTATATAGAGTCTAATATTTTGAAAAGATTTATGCAAGAAAAACATGTTTAGGCTACCTTACCTGCACAGTAAAATGCACAGTAGCAAAAGTTGTGATCTCATGTTCATATGTGCTACTGTGAAGACATAAGTACTCAAAATTCTTATATTTAGGCTACCACATGCATTTTTAACTATATGAATAGCCTGCTAACCTTTCATCCAAACAGTGTTATTTTGTTTATTTATATTTTTAGGAAACATTTATTTTCCCAGCAGTCTTACTGAACTGCATAATTGCCGTCTGTTAACCATCTGAGTCTCACATGTGAAGACAAAGTTGCCAGAGCAGCTGCTAAATGTCCTAAATTTATGTCTTTTTCATGATCTTGCATTCACAGTTTCATTTATGTTAATAATTCTCATTAGCTTTTTAAAAAGCATGGACATTTCTTAAAGATAAGGTTGCAGTGGCCTATTTAGGTTGGCGTGAGGGAGCTTCACTGTTCTTTGTAAAGGAACCACCTTTAGATGAACTTTCACTGCATGTTAGCTTTGTAAAAATGCATTGTGCATAGCAAGAAAAAAACCCACTGTTTATTGTCAATAAACATAATTGCATTAAACAATTGCCCTGCATGTTGATATACTAAAACGTTCCAATAATTTATTATTGGAACCCTTTGTTTTTCTGAGTGGAGTAACCAGTTGTCACCTGAGACCAGTCTCTGTGGACCACATCACCATGGCACCACCTTCACTTGATACCAGAAGAGGCTTGTTGTCTCACAGTGGAGCCATTCAGAAGGTGACGTGCATGAAGACTAAAGCAGAGAGATGAACTGGCCCTCCATGTGTAAGTCTCTATGTATAATTGCAGACATATCTGTGTTTTTATGGCCTATTTTCTAGCTCAGATAAACCTTTGCACACAGAGGAACCTGTTGTTCCGGTCGATCAGCGTGAGCAGCCAAAATGTTTCTACTTGTGTTGTATAATGTATGGTACAGGATAGATTTTGCTGAACAATGAGGTTACAGGCTCTCAAAATAGTGTAGGAGGAAGAATGGAGTGTGTTACAAAAAGAAAAGAAACAAAGATGTGTACTTTTCTCTCACCACAGGGAAGTAGATAAGAAACTTTTCGCTTTGTGATTGTGGAAAAATGTCTTCGGGTCACAACAGGTGCGTATTTTTGACTTTTGCTGTGGTATAACATTTTTCCAGGATCTGTGTCCTATTTTTGCTTTTTATATGTAAGATACATGTATACTACAATTGAAGTGCTTTAAAACAAGCTGTAATGTTTTGCTAACATATCCAAATGTTATCTGAACGTTTTAAAATGTAATTTTTTTTTTGCTTTGTTCCAGTCATTTTGACTCAGAGAGGATATTCTTTTCCTCAAAAATGCTAGTTAATGTTATCACATTGGACTAAAAGCTTCTAACTTTGTTCACACAGGGTATAACAACCCTAAAATGTCATCATTTTGGGTATTTCAATAACTTATCAGTAACTTTTTTCGGATTTGTTTACCAGCTCAGATCAATGAGGCCTCCAGTTCCAAAAAGCCTGTGTTAATTGAAATAAAACAAGTTGACAAAAAGATTGAATCCCAGATTTAGTGAAAATATAGCATTTTTAAAAGTAGTTTTTGAAAGCCTGTTTATTTTTGACTGGGAACACCAAATTAGTTTAAGAATTTTGTAAAGAACATTTCATTTGATCATTTTGCAATCATTATGGGAACGTTGCTTTTGAGTGGTCATTCTGAACATTCTAAAACTAGTAACATTTAAAAAATGTTAGATGAATGGCCAACAAAAAATGTTCCAGGAAAAAAATCCATGAGCAAAATATAAATAATGTATTTGTGCTAACATTTGAAGAATATTATTAAAGACCAGACAACTTTGAACAAATATTCTAACAAACATTATTGGAAGAATGTTTGTTCATAACTTTGAGAGAACCAGTTTTTAAAACATGCCCTGTTAGGTATCATTGATATGAGATGAGTAAATACACCATACTTTATAGCCATTTTGTGAAAATTCACTAGTAAAATGAATTATTGGTGTAAAAAATATATCCTTTTTGCAGTCTCTTTTCATTTCTAGGCTCAAGCGTGTGTCTTAAAAACTTCAGTCAGCTGAATGGGAGAAAGTGGCACAAAGAAAGGTGTCCAAACGGGAATGTACAAAAACGCTGCTGCAACACAAGGTATGTGTGTTACCATTGAACGTTCAAAATATGGTACCCAGCAAGACATGCTCATTATCTTCCTCACAACCACTTTCAGTCATGTTCTTCTCTAGCCTTCGCTGTATTTTTGCTTTCATCTTTCACAGATGTCTAAAATGGCCTTGTGTTAGACTTACAAGTGTGTCCCCGTCGTCCTCATTTATGATATTGACTGTGCTCGCCATGCTTTTCCCCAAAGCAAGTAAGTTTCTTTGCAAAAAAACACTTGATGTATTTTGAAACTTGAATTCCAGCACATTCTAGACTGGGTTCATTTGACATTCTGCTCACAACACAGCTAAACTTCCTCAATTAGGCCTGAAAGTTTTCCTTCATCCAAGTCATGGATGTATGATGGGATTTATTCAGAAGCATTTGGACCAAATCCAGATATTAGTCATTTGGAGAGTTTCATTATATGAACTCATATGAATCATTCATGAGTGAGCACCAGGACAGACCGTCAGCATGAAACCAGGAATATGAGAGATTTGGGAATTACAGGCTAATTGAAAATGATCATTCTTCGACTTTGAATGACAGCGAAAAAAATGACCTAGAAAGAACAGAACAATCCGAAGACTATAGTTATGCTTATAAATTATTTCTGGTTTGTAGCTTTAATAAATCAACTGTATATTTACCGTTACAGTTTGAAGATGTTCGTAGTCCATTGGTAATTCATCAAATTAGACAATTTTCAAGCCATGAATTTCCTACTAAGTAATAACAACTAAGTATTAATGAGATTAAAAAGTTAATAAAAAGTCAATAAAAAGTCAAAATTATGACCTAAATAGTCACATTTGGCATAAAAAGTTTTTATGTGATATTTATGACTTTATCATATAATTCTGATATTTAATGTCATAATAATGACTTATCATCTCATATATTTTGACTGTCATAATTGTGCATTTTCTATTATAATTGTCTTTTTATCTCATAATTTCGACATTATGTAATAACTGTTTTTTGTAACAATTATAACTTTTTATCTCATATAATTGGACTTTGTCATAATTATGTTTTCTGTCATAATTATATTTTTATCTCATAATTTTCAACTTTGTCATAATTGTTTTTCTGTCATAATCAATTCAAGTTTATTTGTATAGCACTTTTTACAATACAAATTGTTGCAAAGCAACTTTACAGAAAATTAAGTTTCTACAATATTTAGTAGTAGCTTATCAGTGGTGACTGCCAGTTTATGTACATATGGCAGAAATGTACGGAAAAATCAATTAAAGACGTAATCAAACAGACGATGAACACTATACAGCAATTATTATATGATGCAATCAAATTTATAGCAAAATGTGGTAGTTCTGTATGTTGTTTCAGGGTTGGCATCATCTGAGGTCCTCTGAGGGGTTGGCATCATCTCTTCTCAGGTGTTCTGGATCCAGACTGAAGCTTGTGTGAATCCTAGTTACCACGTGATGTCAATCCAGTGGCAAAAACAGAGAAACAAATAGAGACATAATTAGCATAGCTGCTGTTCCAACCAAGTTAAATTAGTTTGTTTAACCCAAGCTAAAGAATAATAATG